AAAAATGGAATTGCAGTGTCACAGAGAAAATATGCATTGGAATTATTGGATGAATCAGGTTTCATGAGTTCTAAACCTGTTCATAGTCCTACAGTACCCTCACACAAATTGAGTGCTAATGAAGGTGAGGCCCTTGATGACAATACTCAGTATAGAAGACTCATTGGAAAGCTTTTGTATCTAACCATTACAAGACCTGACATAAGCTTTGCTACTCAGCAACTATCCCAATTTTTGGATAGGCCTACACATCTGCATTTGCAGGCTGCTCACAGGGTCCTTAGATACATCAAAAATGCTCCAGGGCAAGGACTATTTTTCCCAGCATCATCTGATTTACAATTGAAGGCTTTTTCTGACTCTGATTGGGGTGCTTGTGTGGATTCTAGAAAATCAGTGACTGGTTTTTGTATTTTCCTTGGTTAAGCCTTGGTGTGCTGGAAATCAAAAAAACAAGCCACAGTGTCAAGATCTTCCTCAGAGGCTGAATATAGGGCTTTGGCAACAACAACCTGTGAAGTACAATGGGTACTTTATCTTCTTGCCGAGTTTGGATTGCATGCATCATGATAGATCAGCTGCTGTTTATTGTGATAGCAAATCTGCTATAGCAATCACTGAAAATCCGGTCTTCCATGAGAGGACTAAACACATAGAGATAGACTGCCATTTGGTTAAGGAGAAGCTGCACAAAGGGGTGATCAAGCTTTTCCACATTGCTTCTGAAAATCAGCTGGCAGACATATTAACTAAGAGTCACTGTCCAGGCTCCTTCCACAGCTACATTTCCAAGCTGGGATTGCTCAATATATACAATCCAGCTTGCGGGGGCTTTCAGGGAATACAACAGAGATGCAAACAGTTACTCTCAACCAACTCATTCAACCAAATTCAGTTAAAACTGTTAACACTGTTCAGCATTCAATCTAAGCTTTCAGTTTTCCTTCATTGATGTATAAATAGCTTTGTACTCTCTCTGTAATAGATTGATACTTTTCTACCTTCTAAAAACAGTTAGTTCCTTTTCTACTTTTCCTTACCTGCTTCCCGCAATATTATTTGTAAGTAATTTAATATTTTTTTTAAATAATAAGATGATAAGTGGTGGGTACCCGTAGTGGGCACCCACACTCGGTAAGTTGGGAGTGGATTTTGAAAATTTTCACCCAATGCGAGTTGGAGGTGGAAGTGGATGGAAAATTATAAGGTAGATCGAGTGATGAATGTAGCCATTTCTGACCCACACTCGATCCATTGCCATCCCTATGTGGATGTGTGACCATGAAGAGAGTTGTGCGTTGTTAGTATAATAGGTTTATAGAAATGTAGGTGGTCGGTGAATCTAAATAGGAAGCACCAAAGTCAAAGCTTAAACAATATATTTGGCAGACAAAATATTAATAAATAGGGGTTTTAGGTTTCTGCATATATAAAAGCTAAGCTATTTAATTTCACGAGGCATAGTATGGCAAAACCCAAAAGGAAAAAAAATTAAAATATCATGCAAACAAGTAATTAAGAAGTTGAGAGTCAGCCAAGCACCTTGTGCTCAGATGACACTTGAGTTGGACTCTCATATAGAAGGTTGGGAGTTTGAATTTTAGTGGAGACGTTACTAACTTTTTGTGCTTAAAGTAGTTATGAACAGATACTACGTTGTAATAGATCAGTAGCATTCAAAAAAAAAAAAAGAAAAGAAAAAGATGAAGTTGAGAGTCATTTGTAATATTTTTGAGACATAATCACATGGCTAAGTGGTAAAGCAGAGCATTTCCCTTTATTTATTAATTTTGTGTGTATCAAAATCCATTGCCAGACAGAAACATTAATAAAGGTTGTAAGTTTGTGCATACTAACTATATATATTTAGGGGGTGTATTCAATCATGACTTTTGTAGAGTTTTAAAGACTTTTAAAATGATAGATTTTAATAAACTTTGATTGACTTTCATAGAGTCATTCAAAACTTTTTAAAACTTTATAAGACTCTATAAAAGTCTATATAAAAAACATTCATAGACTTTTATCAACTTCTTATTTTAAAAAGTCTACAAAAGTCATTGAAATTCTAAATTGAATACATCCTTACAAACTTTTAATGAATTTGATTCTTATTATTTATAATTTTTTCTTACAAAACATTTATTATATCATAAAATTCTTCTTATTATATAGTTCTTCACCCATATCAACATTCTTAGCATTATTATTTTTAATTTTATCCATAGTATTGAACAATAAAATTTATAATAAAAGAATTGATCAAATAAAATATTAAAAATATAATTACAAGTTGCATAAAATAAAAAAAATAAAAAAAAATAAAAATCTAATATATATATATTTTTTCTATGAATGCTACTGGCCCTATTACATTGTAGTATCTGTTCATATACTTTCTCAACCTACTGAAACACAAAAAACCAATAACACCTCCACTGAGGCTCGAACTCATAACCTTCCAAATGAAAGTCCAACCCGAGTACCATTAGACTACATAGTCCTAGTATATATATATATATATATACTTGATATATTGATAGGCATCACGCAAAGAACTATTATCTGCAATAACAATTTGAGACTGCGAACAACAACAAGGTGCTACTGTTTACAACTCCAAATTGTTATTGCGAACAGTAGTTCGCTATTCGTGTAACCTGTTGTTAAAAATAAATGAAAAATATATATTTCAAATATATACATAAAAAGAATAATAATCAAAATATATAAGTATTTATATGAATATTATGAATAAAATTTGATGATGAAAATTTTGCTTTGTTCATGTATTTAAGGAGAATTAGAGAAAGTTAGGGATAAAAAAATTCATATAAAAAAAATCAATATAAACAAGCAATAATGAAGTAAAATTAATATTATTTCAAATTTTTAGAGGAAGATTGTAAAGTTTAGGAGAGAAAAAAATATGTAGAGTTTAGGTATGAGGAAAATATAGGATAATGAAGAAAAAAATAATTTTATTAAAATTAGATAGGTTTATAAAGTTAAAATAGGAAGAAAAAATAGAGTTTAAATAGAGGGAGAAAACATTCAAAGTTGTTAGAAAGAAAAATTTGAAATCTTGGGGTTGATGGTTGGATTTCAACAATTTATATTTGAGAAGGAAAAGTCTACGAAAGTCTATAAAAGTTCTAAAATTAAAAAGTCTACAAATGTTCATAACTTTTTGAATACCACATGACTTTTAAAGACTCTCTAAAAGTCTTAATCGAATACCACGCGACTTTTAAAGACTCTTTAAAAATCTTGATTGAATATCGCCTGACTTTTAAAGACTCTCTAAAAGTTTGAATTGAATACCTCCAAACTTTTAAAGTTCATAAAAGTCTTTAAAACTCTATGAAAGTCATGATTGAATACACCCCCCATAATTCCATTCCATGAGGTATATAGTATGAAAAGACAACAAAAAAAAAAAACAAAAAAAAAAAAAAAAACAAAAAGATGCATGTCATGCAAATAAAAAAAAAAGAAAATGCTAATTGCTCATAGTAGGGCCAGGTATTCGTGCAGCCTTGCAGCCACACAGTATTAGGTACACATAAATGTACTATAAAGTGTTCGAAAATGTCCATTAAATATGGTACATTTTTAGTGTGTGTTGCATTTTGTGATGTATTTGTGCATTTTTAACATTATGTGATACATTTATTCATACCTAATGGTGCAATCGGCACCGGCCACACGAGAAATCCTATCCTCATTTGAACCAGTGTCATTGCTCATATATTTCTTGCTTATAAACTTGTCACTCCTTGATATGATAAGTTTTAATAAATTTGTTTTCTATTTTAGCTTTCTTATTTTAAATCTTAATCTATTAAAATTTGACACATCTACTAGTATGCAAGTTTGTGAGTGATAGATGTATGGACATTTAGTATTGTCCATAAATAAATATGTAGAGGACTGCAAAACTTTTTTTTTTTTTTTTTTTTAATTTTAGTTTTTTATAGTTCAAATCAGAGTGACAAGAACCCGCAATCACTAATTGATAGTGTACTTCAAGTAAACCTCACTCTTGTATAATACCTCACAAACCACACAAGAGAAAGATCTTGTGGGACAAGCATGATCAAGAACATGCTAATAATAATCAAACTTGTGATCTTAAAATACTAGAACCATATTCTACCCACTCGACTACTCATTTCAAGGCAAATTGGAGATTTTGTGTGTGTGTGTCATATATATAATGGTCTGGCGTAAACTAAGAAACCTATGTATTAATAAAAAGAAAAAAAAAATCTTGTGTGGGGGTAGTCTCATTTTGCATGATGCATCGCCTCTCTTTGATTCTGTAACTGTACTGTGACCTTTTTATTCTATGTTTAATGTTACCAGAACCAATATGAGTGCAATTTTAAACTAGAATTTGCTGGGACACTGGGTGCAATAATTCCAAGCAAGCAAAAGATCAGTTTTTTTTTTTATCTTCAGAATTGCATTGTTCTCATAATAAGTAAATTTAAATTACAGCAAAATCCCCAAGATTTGCATGATAATGTATGTGTAAGAAAATAAAAATCAACAAGTTACATTAACAGCTCACAATTCGATCCATACAACTTTGGGGTCTAACTTGATGCAAAAATGAGGACGACATTATCTGCACAAGATCACAATGATGCATAATTTCATTAGTCATTCTTGCTTTAGTGCTTAACTAGCTACCAACTACATATATATGTTCCTCAGTTTCCTTGAAAATCTTAGCACAAAGAATTATCGGAACACCTTTATTTCCTGGCTAAATAAATCCCACTGATATGCCACAAACAACGTAACTTGTGTTTAACCATAAGATTAGAAGAGAGACAAAAGATATACGGAAATGCATAGTATGTATATATATATGATTCCAACTTTTAATTTGATGAAGTTTTTTTTTTTTTTTTTTTTAAATAAAAATAAAAATAAAAATTCTACAATGATGCAGGTGTAATAATCTATCTTGACCAATATAATCCAACTCAATAATCCTAATATTAAAGAAATAGCATTACCTTTTTGTTTTATTGGAGTTTGGGTCTTTAATTTAATTTGTTGACGAACATACAGGCCGTCAGTATTGCTAGCTATTAATTAATAAGCTGCAGCTTTAGCGTCTTCTTTGCTCTACCTCTCCTCTGCACCATCTTCATTGCTCTCATCTCCATCAGAACTAAGCTGTCATGAATCAATGAAAACAAATTAGCTAGGATATAATGAAACTATATCATGAAGTTATGTTTAGAGAACGAAAAATTAAAGGAGCCGAGCTGAGAGTGAAATAAAAAGGAGATCGAAATGGATAGAGAGAGACCTCTATTGTTTCCTTCTCAATCACAACCAGATTATGGTTTCCAAAGTCAAGCTGATCTTCCCGCACTCTCTTCGCTGAATCCACCGCAGAAGGAAGGCATCGTGTTAATTCGATTGACTTCAAGTTTGGAATCCATCCAAAGCTGTCTGGGATCTCTCTCAACTGAAAGCAATTGCCAAGGACTAGGCGCTCAAGACGCCGGAAATGGCAATTACTACTTTTCCAATGCTTGAGATCAGTTGAAAATATTTCAAAATAAATTAAGCTTTGGAATGAATCCTCCTCTTCTAATTCCCACTCCTTGCCTATGCTGGAAAATAATAACCTGAGCACCTTTAGTCTAGGCAACTGGCAAAGAACATCAATTCCTTTCCACTCAAAATTCATATTCTGAAATGACAACTCCACAAGGCCTTCCAACCGACCAATTTGGTTATTAATTGAAATCATTTGAGGAGTCCTATAATCCCATACATTGCCATTAATATACAGTCCCCTAAGCTGCGGTAAAAACACAAGGGTGTCAATGCACTCATTGCAAGAGCTTCTTTCACCTGTAATTACCACCTCCTTAAGGTCCGGACTTCTTAGAAAGAATTCTATTGTGCAATCACAAGGCTTCAACGCCAGTTTGGAAGGACTTTGAGAATCCTGTTGCTGTTGAAACTTCTTCAACTTGTTCCTTCCATCATCCGCATAAACATCAAGTGTTTGAAGATTCCAAGCCTTCAATAGTTTTATGATTCTAAAATCTCTAACTACCTCAGGTAAGTATCTCAAATGGACGAGATCCACAATCTTCTTGCACATGCTAGCATCACTAAAGTACAATACTCTCAATAGATTAAAACTTTTCAAATGTAAAGATTTCACCTCCGAAAAACAGAAAATGGACCGACATGATGTAGAATGTAATATTGTACGAGTGTCGTCGTCATCAAAATCTGTTGATTGGATGCTTAGCCAACGGAAACCTTTCACACAGAAATTGAAACCATTTCCGGCTATCACATGTAGAAGATTCTCTTTTTGAGCTTGTCTTACACAAAATGCATGCAGTAAACCATGCAACTTAAAGGCCTTAATTTTACTTCCACAATAACTTCGCTTGCATTCAAGAATCAGGCTTCTATCCAAAAGCTCCTCTACGTATCTTTCAGCCACTTCATCAAGGCTCTGCTTCTCAAACTCCTTTATAAGTCCTTCACATGCCCATAACCTAACAAGATCTTTGACATAGATCACTTTACCTTTCGGAAAAACTCCCAAGTATAAGAAACAAGCTTTCAAGTTGTGGGGCAAATGATTGTAACTCATTGAGAGTATTCTCGAACATTCTTCATCATCTAGAGTAGTTGTAGAAGAAAACCTTAGAGCATTTGCAGTATTCTTCCACCCATCTAGAGTGTTGACTTTGGATAAAAGGCTTGCAACCACAATGATTGCCAAAGGCAGTCCATTGCATCTTTTAGCTATCAGTCTCCCAATCGTCATAAATTCATCACTACGAGATTTACATGCCTTTTCATAAAACAGTTGCCAACTCTCACTTTGTTTTAAGAATTGCATTTCATGAGAAAAGTCATCTTTGGATCTGGAGCTGGTATGATTAGCCACCTCTGGAAAACGAGTTGTCAACAATACTCGACTACCATTTCCATCATCGGGAAAGCAAGTTTTGAGAGCATCCCATGCCTCTACACTCCATACGTCATCCATCACAACTAAATACCTTTGACGCTTCAAACTTTGGTAGAGTCGTAATGATAGGTCCTCATCACTGCTTTTGTCTGCATCGTCTTTGGAACCAAGAAGATCTAAGAGCATTTGCCTCTTACTGTGATGTTGTGATGCAACAACCCATGCTTGCTTATCAAAGTAGGAGGTGATGGATGAATCTTCATAAATTTGTTTTGCTAATGTTGTCTTACCAATACCTCCCATACCTTTAATGGAGACAATTTCTAGTTTCTTAGATGGATGTTGGATTAGCATCTCCTTTATAATCTCAAACTCCTTGTTTCTACCGATCATTTTGTTGTGGGATTCTGAAGCAGGTTGGGAAGAATCAGCTTCAGATATTGGTAGAACATCAGGGGTTCCTTGCAGCACGTACTCGTCCTTGATTTTCACCAACTCTTCCTTGACGGCATCAATGTCTTCCATTCCTTGTTGGAGAATAAGACCAAGTTTGAAACAAGGAGTATCAGTATCCCCAGCTTCTGGTGTTCCAATTCCAAATTCCTCTTCTGTTTCAAGAAGATGTGCAATTTGGAATTCGATTTCATCTTCCACTCTGAAAGCTACATCTCTCAGCTTTGTTTCCAACTCTTTGATTGCTTCAACACCAATATCCATTCTGTTCTTATCAAAGAGTTCCATCAGAGATCCAAGCTTTTTGAGGAGAGATTGAACCAAGTGTTTGTTAAAAGGGGTGAGGAGTTCCATTTCTTGTAGGATTGGACGAGGCTGAGGTTGCAAGAACTCAAGCTCTAGTGTCCTCATAAGAGAAAGTACAGCCACACAAGCCATTTGAATTGTTTGGGTGTAATTGTAATATTTGAGTGAAGGTTAGGTGAAGGAACTAGGAAGATAAGTGCAATATCAAATGGAATTGGACAAAGTGAAGATGGTGTGTAATAATAATGCCATGAGAGGCTAATTTATATATATGCCACAGATCTGATGATAGATGCCAATAATTCAAAGCCGACAGCTTAATAGAAGTTGTAGGCCGGTTTGTGCATACAACTCATTATTTTTATTTCATGATGAGGTTTACTATGAGAACGCCCAAAAAAAAATTGTACAAATAAATAAATAAGAAGTTGCGAATAATTAATAATATTTTTGGAGATATGAGCACATGATTGCTAGCTAAGTGGTAAGGTTGTAAGTTATGGATAAATGCCATTTAGTTTCACAATATTATAATTAAAGAATTGAGTTATCCATTAAGCCATCATTCAAGAAATATTAGGGTCAAATTCTGGTGGTGGGTATTGACTCTTTGGACCATTATAGTACTATACAATAGAGAAAATATAGAATAGATACTATCTCGTAAATGAGTCAATATAAATAATTCAAAGACTAAATAAGGCTATATGATTATAATAAAAGGGTTGAATTATCCATTATATATGCAACAATTCATGAACTAAAGATGTAACTTTCTCCAATATTAAATAAATGTGTAGTATTTTAATTCAAAGATTAGGGGTAGGTAATTAATGACAACTGCTTCTTGTTGGGAAAATATAAAATGTGGTAGTAGTTGGCCTCGCAAGACTTTTTAGTCATATTTCAATTCAAATTATTTGTATTATGCATATATATTGGTAGTATTAAAATTCAAAGATTAACTTAATCCACCTCGCGGATATCCACCCCGCATGGATCGGATTTTTTTGGGTGATGGTGGGTTGTGGGTCGGGGGTGGATCTTAAAAAAGTAAACCCGCGGTGGGTCGGGTTGGATTCGGGTTCTATGTACAAAACCCGCCTAGAACCCCACCCGACCCACCATGTGTGTGTATATATATAATAGTAAAATAAGTACTTGTATGTAGTTATTTATAAAAGTTTATATAACTTTGTGTATCTATTTACTATTTTTTATATCTAAACTACTAAGTTTATTTTTAAAAATTAATAATTTAGTTATTATATTTAAATATTTCTATTATTTTATGTTTTAGTATCACTAATGAATTTTATTATTTTATTATGTGTAAGTAATTTAAATATTATTTTTTAAAAAAATTATAAGATAATAAGTGGTGGGTACCCGCAGTGAGCACCCACACCCGGTGAGGTGGGGGTGGATTTTGAAAAAGTCCACCCGATACGGGTTGGAGGTGGGGGTGGGTGGAGAAAATATATGGATGAATGTAGCCTTCCCCGATCCACACCCGACCCATTGCAATCCCTAAGATTAAGGTTAGATAATGACAAAATGCTTCTTGTTGGGTCCAATATTAAATGTCGTTGTTGGTAAGGTTGATTTTTCAACATTATGTTCATTTTGGTTATAAAAAATTCGTAAATCAACTCTTTATATCTGTTGATTAGATGGTGACATATTAATTATTTGCACACATTTAAAGGCTTATGACCTATCAAACTGCCAAAGGTATTTGCTTAATATAAAGTTTTAAAATTCTAAACAGCTAGGGAGATATGTAGGTTATTGGTCCCCTAAGTCATTCGGATAATGTAATTAGGTCGATTCCCTAAACCTGTAAAATAGTTCAATTGAGTCCAAATTTACCTGTATAGCAGGTTAATTCATCCCCAGCTTGACATGTGTCGCCTTTAAAATATTTTTTTTTATTTTTATTCTTTAAAAAAATTATTTATTATTAAATTATTAGATTTTTTTTTTAAAAAAAAAATCAGAGGTGGCTGCCTACTTCACGGACAGCCGTGGCTGAAATTTCATTTTTTTATTATAAATAATTTAATAATAAATAATTTTTTTAAAGATTAAAAATAAAAAAATATTTTAAAGGCGACACGTGTCAAGTTGGGGATGAATTAACCTGTTATACAGTATATATATTGATGGAATATAAGGAATTGGGCCTGGGTCCAAGAGCATGGGGGAGGGGGGGGCAGGCCCAAGAGGGTTGGTGGGCGAGCCCATGGGTGTAAGCGAAGAGCGAGCAGGGCCGCATGCATGCGAGGGTGGCGGCCTGACTGTGGATGCATGCATGCGGCGGCGGCGGTTGGAGTGCTATGCGATTGCATGCGGGATGGTGGCGGCATGCATGCGTGTACGGGAGATCAGCCGCGCAACCCGCTCGCGCGCCCGGGCGAGCAGGGAGGTAGCCGCCATTTCACGAGGCGTGGCTGAGGTGGCGTCGGACGCATGGACGGGAATGCGCGCACGACTCGGGGTGCGCACAAGGTGGGCGCGGAACGTGCGGCGTGGGCGGCACGCGTGTGGCTCGAGAAGGGGAAGTTGGCGCCGTCCACGTGGTTGGCATGGAGGGATCCGTATCCAGTATAAAAGGAGGGGGTCGTAATCCAAAGGGGACGGAGTGTGTGGAGTAGCGGGAGTGGCAAGATTTAGTGAGTGAAAGACAAACGATCGCAAGATCGATTCTGGATAACGACAGTCATTGATCGGCAATCAGGGCTTACTGTTGGGCTTGATAGTGGGCCGGGGAACCTGGGCCTGGTGTCTTAGCATAGTATATTCACCACAATCTTCTTTTATCCATTTTGTTCGGTTTATGGTGGACCCGTTTTTCATTAAAACCATCATATATATTTCCAGTAACATATATATACAATTTTTTTTATATTTCTAGTAATTAACTTTATATTTTATAAAATATATAATAGAGATTAATATTTTTTCCATCTAGGCTAAAGCTTTTAATTACACAATCCTTATATTATTAGTATAAAATAACATTTGGGGTGTAAAAATTATTAATTTTCATCTCGATTAATATTATTTCCATCTCGGCTAAACCTTATATTTCCATCTCATATTGCAAAACCTTTTCAATCTTTAATTATAAAATTTTTCTAATAAATTGTGGATACTAAACGATTCTATTCCATTTTCTATTTTTTAATATATATCTTTACATAACTATATTCCAATTAGAACATTAAAGATTTGAGACTTTAAGGGATCATTATCCTATGAAACATGGTCCCATGGTTCATACAATTGTGTGGACCATAAATAATTAAAAAGTACATTATTGTGTATATAAAATGCATTATTTGAGTACTGAAAATATATTATTATTTTGTATATTATCAAATAATGTACATTCAATACACAAATAATGTACTTCTTTTTTAGAAACAAATAATGACTTTTAGTATATTAAAAATATTTTTTCGTATTTATGGAAAGTACGTTATTTTGTATACTGTCAAATAATATATATTCAGTATACAAATAATATAATTTTAATATATTAAAAATGTACCTTATATTCATGGTCGATGGAAAAATTTGCCGACTACAAGAGGAAAAAAAATGGGCTAGCTTGTTCTAAGCCGCGCCCATATTTATTGTAATATTAAAATTCAAATATTAAGGGTTGATAATGACAACACCATATTTTAAGGTGCAATAATTGCAAGAGGGTAATATTTTTATCCAAGACCACATCATTTTAAATTGTAAATATAAGTATTTTTTGTTAGAGATTCCGGTGACCTATAAGCCTCTGCAACTTGCACTACTAATTCACATTATGAGTATTGTTAATAATTTGGGGTAAGAGTATTGTTAATAATTTTAATTTTTTAAGTTAATAATTATTGCAATATATAATGACAAATGGTTGGTTGTTGGGAAGATAATATAATGTTATTGTTGTTGGCAAATGGCTGACCTCAATAATGGCAACCCCACCAAGCTTATCAGACAATTGGGCTTGATAATCACAAGATTTCTAAGTTCAACTTTGTATGAGAATTGTCTATTGATCTTCTTAATTCGAACAAGTCAATTAACTGTCACAAAACGGTTTCAACAAGAACGCACCTTGGAACACAATTCAAGAACTAAATAATGCTATATATGATTGTTGAGGCTATCATGGGAGAAAAACAATAGCTATACTTTTACATTATTGTCCCTTTAATGCATCAATTATTACAAACTAACATTAGATTTTAATAGTCAATCACCTTGTTTAGAGCACTAATATAATTCCAAACAAATTATTACGGTATTTAATGTTTAAATTCAAAGAATAAGGTTAGATAATGACAAAATGCTTAGCTTGTTGTTGATGGAGAACATATTAAATGTTGTAGTGGTTGGCCAAACAAGAAGACTTTCCAGCAATATGTTGGTTTTAATTAATATGAATGATGTGTAGTTTTTAGTTTTTAATTAATAGTGGACCAAAAAGGGTGTTAAGCTACGTGATAAGCTAATCAACCACAACTGCCAACTTTCTAGAGCCAGTTTTAAGCAATTCTCAATTTCTCTGGCACTGGGTGCAATAATTCCAAGCAAATTAAAAGATCAGTTTTTGATCTTCAAGAATTGCAAAAGCTCAAGTTTAATTGTTCTCGTAAGTGAATTTCCAGCAAAATCCCCAAGATCTGTGTGATGTATGTGTAAGAAAATACAAATCAACAACTTACATTAACAGCTCGCACTTCGATTCTACACAGCAGTGCAAAACATTATATTGTGGTAGAAGCTAGGAATGTATATATATATATATATATACACACACTTCATTTGCTGCTACTGTTGAATTGGAAGAAGCTGTAATATAATCCTTGCGTCAAATCAATGTGAATATAGAAACTTTGTATATTTGGGTTTACTCTTTGCCTTGGAGCCAACACATAGAAAGCTCCCCAATATTACCTGAAGAAGTCATTTAGGAATGTACTCGAATAACGAATTTCATTTAGGCAAAATTTGCAGAATATATATGAACTACTTATTGTTAAAAAGGGTGGTACCTGAACAGATAGGAGTGACTGCTATGAGAACTCCCCCGACTCCACCACCTATAACACGATCGACCATCTGGACTAGCAAGACAAATGCCAAGACTAGGCCCTGAGGACCGCTGCTATTGCTCGATCAGCAAGTAGAACTGCCCTTAATTTAACAAGTCTTGTCAAACAAGAAGGAAGAAAGCAGAGTTTGGGTCTTTAATTTAATTTGTTGACGAACATACAGGCCGTCAGTATTGCTAGCTATTAATTAATAAGCTGCAGCTTTAGCGTCTTCTTTGCTCTATCTCTCCTCTGCATCATCTTCATTGCTCTCATCTCCATCCGTCGTCTCATCAAGTGTTTGAAGATTCCAAGCCTTTAATAGTTCTATGATTCTAAAATCTCTAACTACCACAGGTAAGTATCTCAAATGGACCAGATCCACAATCCTCTTGCACATGCTAGCATCAGTAAAGTAGAATACTCTCAATAGATTGAAACTTTTCAAATGTAAAGATTTCACCTCCGAAAAACAGAAAATGGACCGACATCTAGTGATAGAAGAAGCAGGACGGGTGTCATCCTCATCAAAATCTGTTGATTGGATGCTTAGCCAACGGAAACCTTTTACACAGAAATTGAAACCATTTCCATCCATGATGTTAGCACATCTGTTCTTGTTTTTATGGTTATTTTGAATCATCACAGTAATTAAGTTCTTTAATTTTGCCTATTTAATACATATTTTCCTTGCTATTATCATTTAATTATGGTTCACACTTGTTTTGAATGTTTTACGGTGTTTGTTAGTGTTTTTGAACCATTGTAGGTCAATTCTATGAGCAAGGGAAGTTCAATGATGAGTTTGGAGCAATTTTGGATGAGTTCGGGGCCCAGTGGACTCGACGCGTCGAAATTTTCCAGTAGCTAACTAATTTGCGCACAGGAAGTCTCGACGCGTGGAGAAAATTCTCGACGCGTCGAGAGAATAGGCGTCTATTTCTGGGATAAAAACAGACGCCTAAAGTGGCGCAGCTGGGCAAAATTCAATACAAGCGCGAGATTTCTTTTCCTAATATCAATTGCACGGATTTCAAGGCTCATATCTCCATATTAAAAGTTAGCAATTCAAGGAATCTTCCAAATTCTAAATATCATTAAAGACGGCAATTTCTTTATTTAAATATAGGAATTAGAATTTGAGTCCAATTTGGTACAAGATTCCTATTTCATCTCAACTTTGTACCCACTATAAAATCCCTCCTTCCTCAACCCTAAGAAGAGACGGAGAGATTTTTAGAGTTCTTTGTAGACAAGAAAGAGAGAAATCAAGAGGCTCAAGTCGTCTTTGGAAGCAAGGAGGAAGCCAGGGAGATTTGGGAGAATCGCTTGGTTAATTCTTGTACTCTTCTGATGATTTGTAATCCTTTATTCATATTTGCTATGTATAATTTAGCCATGCGCGGCTAAATTCTTTAGGGATTTTTGGGTGAATTTGTTTATGAACCTATGTGCCTAGTTCGTTAATTTCTTAATATATTTATGTTTGGTTTTATGATTTGTGTTGCAATCTTGTTTTAATCAGTTGTTGTTGGTAGTTAAAGGCCTAAATTACTAGCTTCACAGTCATGTTTGTGTCGCCAATGGGAGTTGGGGCATAAATTAGGTCACACATGATTGCACCTAATGGTTGGTCCTTGGGAAAGGGGAACTTATTAGGGGAAGTTTATTCTAGATTATTGCTCATCGGGAGATGGTTGTAATTAGGAATAATTGAATGCTGATCTTTGATCTTATTGGGTGTTTAAGCCATGGGAGTGGAAATTCACTAGGAATAGAGATTACGGGAGTAATTCAATTCCACTTTGCATTCCCATACAAATCTTAATTCCAAACCAAATATTACAAACGTTAATTGGCACTAGGTGATTAAACATTGTGATCCCAAGAATCCTATTTTGCTCTATTGTCTACAAAACCTTGCTACTTATTTTATTCTGCTTGTTATTTTGTGCAATCAATCAACCTTCAAGTTTTGTTTGGACTAGTTTCATATGAGTAACCTAGTAGCTAGTGATTAGTACACCACCTCTCTGTGGTTCGACAACCCGAATACTCCGGGTATTATTTGTTTGCCCCAAATTACACCAATCAATCCACCACATGTAGAAGATTCTCTTTTTGAGCTTGTCTTACACAAAATGCATGCTGTAAACCATGCATCTTAAAGGCCTTAATTTTTCTTCCACAATAACTTTGCATGCTTTCAAGAATCAAGTTTCTATCCAAAAGTTCTTGTACCCAACTTTCAGCCACTTCATCAAGGCTCTGGTTCTCAAACTCCTTTATAAGTCCTTCAATGGCCCATAATCTTACAAGATCTTCAATATAGAACACTTTACCTTCTGGAAAAACTCCCAAATATAAAAAACAAGCTTTCAAGTTATATGACAAGAGATTGTAATCCAATGAGAATATTCTTGAGCATGCTTCAGCAATTTTTGTCATAGCAATATTCTCCCACTCACTTGGGTCCACGTTGAAATTGGAAACTACACTTGCTGCAATAACAACAGCCAAAGGTAGTCCTTTGCACTTATCAACAATTGGTCTGGCAATAGTCTCAAAGTTAGCACGACGTGATGTGCCCGCCTTCTGACAAAATAGATCCCAACTCTCGCTTTGATCTAAGAAGTGCATTTGATGAATGGAGTCAATGTTGGAACTAACATAATAAGCCGCCTTTTCAAGGAGAGTAGTCAATAATACTCGACTACCATGTTTATCATCTGGAAAGCATCTATTGATTGCATCCCATGCGTTCATGCTCCACAGATCATCAATCACAATTAAGTACCTATTATTACAACAGTATGTGTAAATTTATGTGTTAGGGTAGATAAAGATTCACTGCTGAAAATTATGGAATTTCCGACCACCTGAAAGTGATCTTAAATCAAGTCGAAAGTCTTGTTCCGACCACTTTTTTTGATATTCGGAAAAACCTTTGTTGCTATTTTCGACAGTGATTATGAGATAGACTTATAGATCAGAGTTTGAATATATTATTTAATCAATACAAAGAATCTTAGTGAGTCATTGTTACGTATGAGATTAGAGACGATTCCTATCTCACAGCCAAGTACCTTTGATGCTTCATACTTTGGTAGAGTCGTAATGCTAGATCATCATCACGAGTGCTGCTATTTACATAGCCATTTGAATTAAGAAGACCAAGAAGCATTTGTTTCAATTCTTATTGGCTGGTGAAAAAAGGACGAGTCTAGAACCCGGTGATGGCTAGAAAATTGTTGGGCGGAGGCCGGTAGGGCTAAGTCCAGTACCCAATGTCTAGAATGGCTATTTATAAAGAAATAAGGTTGTGTTTCACTACTAGCTATAGCTTTGACGTGAGTGGTAAGTGTATCCTAAAAATAACATTTAAAATTGGTTAATGCTGGCCGGGAGAATTAAAGCATGTGCTCCATCCCAACTAAAAGCCTAAGCTGATAGTTGGATTGCACATTAATGGCTATATGCTCAACAGGGAGGAGATGTTTAGCACCCAGTGACTAGGGATTGTGATACTAGCTATAACTTTTGGACGTGTGTGCTTGATCATACCTTCGACCGAATAAAGCCTTGTGGATTTGTGTGATGTATGTGTAAGAAAATACAAATCAACAAGTTACATTAACAGCTCGCACTTGATTATACACCGCAGTGCAAAAAATCAATAATCCTACCCCACCACTGGAGTTTGACCTTACAACCACCCATTTGGAATGGTAACAGAGGTGTCATCACACTACATGATAGTTGACAGATGAAAACAACTGAAAACTCTGAAACCATTTCAAAATCATCAACCCAAGGTCCCAAATAACAATAATAAGATTAAATATAACGTAACATAAAATAATATAAAATGGGTGCAAATATAATTTAGAGTCTCTTTGCTCAAGCTATATGTGCTTCCTCTGCTCTTCAAATTCATCATAGTTCATCAAAATCATCTTCATCAGTCTCAAGTTCGTCGTTGGGCTGTAATAAAACGTAACATTGAAGCTAAATTAGAATATGATGAAACTAAACGTACAAAGTTTAGAAGAAAAAAGAGGGAGGGGAAAAATATATGCAGTTGAGTAAGAGAAAGGGAGAGAGACCTAGCTACCTGTATTGTTTCCTTCTCAATCACAACCATATCATCGTTTTCACAGTCATACTGCTCAGCTTGGATTTGGTTGGCTGAATTCACCGCAGAAGGAAGGCATCGTGTTAATTTGATTGACTTCAATTTACAAATGTCTGCAAATCTGTCTGGGATCTCTCTCAACCGAAAGCAATTGCCAAGGAGTAAGCGCTCAAGATTCGGGAAATTTATATCACTGGCTTTCCAATGCTTGAGATCAGTTGAAAATATTTCAAAATAAATTAAGCTTTGGAATACATCCTCCTCTGATAATTCCCACTCCTTGCCTATGCTGGAAACTAATAACCTGAGCACCTCTAGCCTAGGTAACTGGCAAAGAACATTAATTCCCTTCCACTCAAAATTCATACACTTAAATGACAACTCCACAAGCCCTTTCAAGCCACCAATTTGGTTATTCATTGAAATCATTTGAGGAGTGTTAGAATCCCATACATTGCCATTAATATACAGTCCCCTAAGCTGCGGTAAATAGACAAGGTTGTCAATGCACTCATTGCAACATCTTCTTTCACCTGTAATTACCACCTCCTTAAGGTCCGGAGTTCTTAGAAAGAAATCTATTGTGCAATCACAAGGCTTCAACGCCAGTTTGGAAGGACGACTTTGAGAATCGTGTTGCTGGCCAAACTTCTTCAACTTGTTCCTTCCATCATCCGCATAAACATCAAGTGTTTGAAGATTCCAAGCCTTTAATAGTTTTATGATTCTAAAATCTCTAACTACCTCAGGTAAGTATCTCAAATGGACGAGATCCACAATCTTCTTGCACATGCTAGCATCACTAAAGTAGAATACTCTCAATAGATTGAAACTTTTCAAATGTAAAGATTTCACCTCCGAAAAACAGAAAATGGACCGACATGTAGTGATAGAAGAATTAGAAGCAGAATGTAATAATGTACAGGTGTCCTCATCAAAATCTGTTGATTGGATGCTTAGCCAACGGAAACCTTTTACACAGAAATTGAAACCATTTCCGGCTACCACATGTAGAAGATTCTCTTTTTGAGCTTGTCTTACACAAAATGCATGCTGTAAACCATGCATCTTAAAGGCCTTAATTTTTCTTCCACAATAACTTCGCTTGCTTTCGAAAATCAAGTTTCTATCCAAAAGTTCTCGTACCCATCTTTCAGCCACTTCATCAAGGCTCTGGTTCCTAAACTCCTTTATAAGTCCTTCAATGGCCCATAATCTTACAAGATCTTTAACATAGAACACTTTACCTTCCGGAAAAACTCCCAAATATAAAAAACAAGCTTTCAAGTTATATGGCAAGTGATTGTAATCCAATGAGAATATTTCTGAGCATGCTTTAGCAATTGTAGTCATAGCAATATTCTCCCACTCACCTGGGTCCACGTTGAATTTGGAAAGAGAGCAAACTACACTTGCTACAATAACAACTGCCAGAGGTAGTCCTTTGCACTTATCAACAATTGGTCTCACAATAGTCTGAAGGTTAGCATGACGTGATGTTCCCGCCTTCTGACAAAATAGATCCCAACTCTCGCTTTCATTTAACGGGTGCATTTGATGAAAGAAGTTATTTTTGCATCCGGCATAATAAGCCACCTTTGCAATACGAGTAGTCAATAATACTCGACTACCATTTGCATCATCTGGAAAGTATCTATTGATTGCATCCCATGCCTCTATGCTCCACACATCGTCAATCACAATTAAGTACCTATTATTACAACAGTATGTGTAAATTTATGTGTTAGGGTAGTCCGGGTAGATAAGGATTATGAGATAGACTTATAGATCAGAGTTTGTATATATATTATTTAATCTATACAAAGAATCTTAGTGAGCCATTGTTACATATGAGATCAGAGACGATTATATCAGAACCAAGTACCTTACACCCTTCAACCATCGGTAGAGTTCGAATGATAGATGCTCATCATCCTCATCATGAGTGCTGCTATCTGCATAGCAAATTGAATTAAGAAGACCAAGAAGCATCTGTCTCTTGTTATGATGCGGTGATGCAACAACCCAGGCTAGCTTGTCAAAATAATGGGCAATTGACCGATCTTCATAAATTCTTCTTGCTAACATTGTCTTACCAATGCCTCCCATACCGCAAATCGAAATAATTTCGCGCCGTGATGAATGTCCGAATAGCATCTCCTTTATAATCTCAAACTCGTTGTCTCTACCGACCCTTTCTGAAGCAGGTTGGGAAGAATCAGCTTCAGATATTGGTAGAACATCAAGGCTTCCTTGCAGCATGTACTCCTTGATTTTCACCAACTCTTCCTTGACGGCATCAATGTCTTCTATTGCTTGTTGCAGAATAAGACCAAGTTTGAAAGAAGGAGTAGAAGATTTTTGGGCATCAGTATCCCCATCTTCTGGTGCTCCAATTCCAAATTCCTCTTCTGTTTCATGAAGATGTGCAATTTGGAATTCGATTTCATCTTCCACTCTGAAAGCTACATCTCTCAGCTTTGTTTCCAACTTTTTTATTGCTTTAACGCCATCCACTCTGTTCTCATCAAAGAGTTCCATCAGAAATCCAAGCTTTTTGAGGAGAGATTGGACCAAGTCTTTGTTGAAAGGGGTGAGGAGTTCCATTTCTTGTAGAATTGGACGAGGCAGAGGTTGCAAGAACTCAAGCTCTAGTGTCTTCATAAGAGAAAGTACAGCCACACAAGCAGCCATTCTGATCTCCTCTCTGTTTTGAATTGTTTGGGTGTAATATTTGAGTGAAGGTTAGTTGAAGGAAGATAAGTGCAATATCAAATGCCACTGATCTGATGATAGATGCCAATAATTCAAAGCCGACAGCTTTTTTTACTTTTAGCTTTCCAACTCAAAAGATTCCACTACACAAGCCGTTTTTTTTTTTTTTTTTTTTTTTTTTTGTTTTTTGTGTGTGTGTGTGGGGTGTGGGGTTGTGGTGGTGGGGGGGGGGGGGGGGGGGGGGTTAGTCTCATTTTGCATGCTGCATTCCCTCTCTTTGATTCTGTAAATTGACCTTTTTATTCTATGTTTAATGTTACCAAAACCAATATGAGTGCAATTTTAATTAAACTACAATTTGCTCTTGACACTGGGTGCAATAACTCCAAGCAGGCAAAAGATCAGTTTTTTTATCTTCAGAATTGCAAGAGCTCAAGCTCAATTGCAAGATCTGTGTGATGTATGTGTAAGAAAATACAAATCAACAAGTTACATTAACAGCTCGCACTTCGATTATACACAATGATCCTACCCCATCACTGGAGTTCGACCTTACAATCACCCATTTAGAGTGATAACAGAGGTGCCATCACACTACATGATAGTTGGCAGATGAAAACAACTAAAACTCTGAAAGCATTTCAAAATCATAAAATGGGTGCAAATATAATTTAGTCTCTTTGCTCAAGCTATATGTGCTTCCTCTGCTCTTCAAATTCATCATAGTTCATCAAAATCATCTTCATCATCCTCAAGTTCTTCGTTGGGCTGTCATAAAACGTAACGTTGAAGCTAAATTAGAATATGATGAAACTGAACGTACTAAGTTTAGAAGAAAAAAGAGGGAGGGGAAAAGTATATGCAATTGAGTAAGAGAAAGGGAGAGAGACCTGTATTGTATTTTCTTCAATGACGATCATATCATCGTTTCCACTGTCTCTTTGATCAGTCTCAATTTGCTTGGCTGAATCAACTACAGAAGTAAGACATCCCTTCAATTCGATCAACTTCAAATTTGGAATTTCTGCAAAGTCGGGTGGGATCTCTTCTAATTTCTTACATTGATAAAGGAGTAGGCGCTCGAGTTTTGGGAAATGATGACTACCAGCTTCCCATATCTTGAGATCAATTGAATTAATTCCCAAATAGATTAACAGGCTGAATACCTCATCCTCCAGTAGTTCCCACTCTTCGCCTACACAGGCAAAGAAGAACAACTTGAGCACCTTGAGCTTAGGCAAACTGCTAAGAATATTAATTCCCTTCCACTCAAAGTTGGTATTCCGAAGGGTCAACTTCTCAAGATTTGACAAAAGAGCAATGTGGTTATTAATA